GCTCTGTGAGGAAAACTCAGCCCTCTGAGCCTAAAACAGCAGATGATGCGAACCCTGACTCCACTCCTGTAAATAGATGCCTCTCATCCAAGCTGAAATGGAATTAATGCGGGTGCCCTGTCTAGCTTATTTGGAGATTCATTTCCAACATATTTTACTTTGTTGTTGTTAATCCTCACCTGAGGATATTTCTTCCACTGCTTTTCAGAGAGAATGGAAAGGAGGGAAGGAGGGGAAGAGAGAGAAATAGACTGGTTGCTAATAGCTGCCTCCCGCACTCCCCAAGGGGGAGGAAATAGGTTGGGGGGACCCAGCTTGACTGGAAGGGAACCCAGGACCCTTTGGTGCTCAGCTGGAGCTCCAACCATTGGACAACACCGGCCAGGGCCAACATATTTTACTTTCAATGTTTAATACTTATTCATGAAAATACATGAAACATGAAATGTTTTATATTATTTGTGCACTAGCAAAAATTTTAAAATTCAATCCAGAAGAAAATACTTTAACATTTGGAACCTTATAGTCACAAGAAACTAAATAAAATTAAAAATTTAGTTTCTGTATATATTTTGGTTGATGACACCTAATTCCCGAGAAAGAATTCTGTCCAGAAGGAGCTCCAAGTTAAGGTCAAGGACAAAGAGGAAGAATGTAAAATTTCTGACAGTAAAAGAAGAGTTTGTTCTTTTGTTCTTTTGGAAATGGGGCACTGGCTGGCACCAAATCACCAGAGCAGGTGGATGGCATTAGATGTGTCAAAGGAAGGACGCGCCACTCTGCTGGGATATGTCAATGTTCACATCACAACTTACATCCTTTGCAACTACTTGAACTTTCAGAGAGTTTTAGTGTCAACTTGAAAATGCACTATAGAGTAATCTGTCGATTGTTTTAAGGGGCAGGGTAGCGCTCTGCCACGGTGGCTGCCACCTTCTGCCGCTCAGGGGGCTGCTTGTGGTCGGTGGGTGCTTGGCAGACCTGGCACCTCTTTTGTGAAGCGGAGGCTGAGGAGACTCGGGCGTTCACCAAGGCCAAGGAAAAGCCCCGGACGGAGCCCAGAGTGAGAATAACGATCATATTACTCTGAGGGGCGGCAGGCAGGATGGCTTGTGGAGCGCTTTAAGACTAAGAGGCATACACCTCTTAGTAAACGAATGGAAGCCTATTGTGAATAGCAGGATTTGTCAATGAGGTGGATCAGATTTCGATTTGACGGGCAGCCAATCAATGCAACAGACACAGCTGCACAGCTAAACACGTGTCTGGGACAGTCCAGCAGCAGAGGGAGTGTCTGAGACGGGAACCTGCTATTCCACACCGCAATGTGGCTCCACCACACCCAGGCTACCACAGCAGCTTTCTCTCTTCTTTCACTTCCCCCTTCCCCATTCTTTTATTATACATCAGGTAACTGATGTATGTCCGCAGAATTTGCATTTTTAAAAATTAAAGGCCAATGGTGGGTTTTGATTGACATCAAATGGAGATGGGATGGAGACAAACACTGGTTTTCCATTAGTGGACGCTCATTCAGCTCTTACCTTTCTATTCCAGGAAGTTATTTGGCTCTCACTGTTTAACAAAAAAAAGAGAGCACATAGTGGTTGAGCATCAACCTATGAACCAGGAGGGGGAGGTTCGATTCCCAGTCAGGGCACATACCTATGTCAGTTTGCTCTCGGCTGGACAATGATTTTCTAGAATGTCTTGGTTTCTACTCATGTGGTATTTCTCAAACGGGTTTGGGGTTTTTTTGCTGGCTGTTCGTCATTTTCCACTTGGTAACAGTTTGTGGCTTGCTATAAGAAGTGGCGGCTCTCTCAACTTCCTTTTATGGTGACGTCACCTGTTTATCTATAAAACCACTACTTCTGCTTGCTGCGTTGTGCCTAGTCTATGGGTGGGGTTGGGCGGAGGGGAGGGGTAGAAGCAGGGGTGGGGGGTTAGGGGTTGATGGTGGCTCCTTGGAATGGGGGCCCTGCGCTGGCTTTGCCAGGCAGGCTGCCTGGCTGTTTCCTGGAGGCTCCCTGAGCCAGGTGGAGGCTGGAGAGACTGAGAGCTCTGGAGATTCCGACATTGTGGCTGTGATTGAAAATGGACTTCCTGAAAAAGAAGCTCGCCCGCCAGTGATGAGTCGGCCTTAGGGAGACCTGTGTGATGGGGGGTCGGTTCCCCAGGACACTCAGTGCTTCCACAGGAGCTTAAAACTGCAGATTTTGTCTTGTAAGCGGGTAATGAAATCAATTTAGTTGCACAGATCTATTTAGTTCCATTAAAAACATGATGGAGATACAACAGAAAATATGGAAGCCAATCTGAAGTAGTAAGGGTAAGTATTGTTTCATAAAACTTTTGTTCTTGGGAGTGTGTGTGTGTGTGTGTGTGTGTGAACGAGTAATTAGAACACCGTTGAAAGGTTGAAAGCCACTGTCCTAGATTTGGGTTGGAATCCATTGAGTCTACAGAGTATTTTCAGGACAGTGATATCTTCCCAATATTGTCTTTCAAGCCACAAACGCAGCATCTCTCTCCATTCAGTCTCTAATTTCCTCTGCATGTCTTGTACTTCTTCGATTATATTTAGTCCCGGTCCTGATATTTTTGACATGATTATTTATGGCATTTTACATTCAATTTTCAATTTGGTTGGGGCTGATATGTAGAAATACAATGGAAATATGTAAATGATTTTCTATCCAGTGACCTCATGAAATTCATTCTTTTTTATCTTTTTAACAAAATATAATTTTCATGAAGCTCCATGACTTTTTACATTTGCATATGCTGGGGTTCTCAGTTAGGGACAATTTTGCTCCCTGCCAGTAGCACCTCCCAAGTTTTGACAACCAAAATGTCTTCAGCCGTTGCCAATGTCCCCAGGTAGCAGGGAGTGGGGCTCGTTCCATATGCATATGCAATGGCATCATTTATAGAAATGACCATCCTTTCCTCACTGAGCTGTGGTGGTATCTTTGTTAGAAATCAACATACATACTACTTACTAATTACATACCCATTACTCATGCAGCCCAGGATGGTGAAAGGGTGCTCAATATGGCATAACTGATAACAGGATTGTTTAATTACTGAGAGGGGAGTGTTGTTGTTTTTATATGGAGGAGAGTAAAAGCATGAAATTTTTATCTTCCATATTAGGAAGTCAACAGGTAATAAAAAAGGGGGGGTGTGTGTCTTTAAGAACTAGGAGTATACGTGCCTTACTTAGAAATAAGGTGGCAGCCCTAGCTGGTTTGGCTCAGGGGATAAAGCGTCGGCCTGCAGACTGTAGGGTCCCGGGTTCAATTCTGGTCAAGGGCACACACCCAGGGTTTCGGGCTCGATCCCCAGTAGGGGGCATGCAGGAGGCAGCTGATCAATGATTTTCTCTCATCATTGATATTTCTCTCTCTCCCTCTCCCTTCCTCTCTGAAATCAATTTTTAAAAATATATATTAAAAATATAATAATAATGTGGCAAATGTCCCCAAACAGCCAGGAGAGCCAATGGGACCAAGAGCCTGCTCTGCTTGGAGGACCTGGTTCCTCACCTACTCAGGTACTGCGCCCAGGGCCCCGCACCCAGCCCCCTCTGCACCCAGCCCCTCACCCAGGGTCCCCTGCACCCAGCCCTCACTCTCTTCTCTCCCTTGAAGCCTTCTGCCTCCTATTGTGGCCATTCTCTAATGGAATGCCTGTGCCTACCTCGCCCTCCTGGAGCCAAGAACCCAGAGGTGAGAATGGGTATGAGGATCTTCTGAGGGGAGGCAAATAAGTGAGGTGGGTTGGCGGTAACACAGCTTTCCAAGTGGGAGTTTTTAAACTTCAGGTCTATGATCTTAAGTGGCAAAATCAATTTGGTGTGCTATGACCAGCATTTCTTTCTTTCTTTTTAAAAAATACTTTTATTGATTTCAGAGAGGAAGAGAGAGGGAGAGAGAGATAGAAACATCAATGATGAGAGAATCATTGATCAGCTGCCTCCTGCATGCCCCACACTGGGGATCAAGCCTGCAACCTGGGCATGTGCCCTTGTCCGGAATTGAACCCAGGACCCGTCAGTCCGCAGGCCGACGCTCTATCCACTGAGCCAAACCGGCTAGGGCCAGCATTTCTTTAAAGAAAAAAAAAGTTAAGTACATACTGTATAATTCCATTTATAAAAATTCTAGAAAATGCAGACATCTAGCAGACCAGTGGTTGCCTGGGGATCCGGAAGTGGGATGGCTGGGATTTCAAGGAGCATGGAGATACTTTAAGGGTAATGGATATGTTTGTTCTCTAGATCATGAGGATGGTTATGAGGTTGCCATGCCTATTAAAACTTATCTGATTGTATATTTTAA